TTAAATTTTATTTTTTATATTTTAATTTAAAATAATATTTTTTTATGCAACATATGTATTACAAGCACAACTATAATATATTGAATCTAAATAATATTATTCTTACTATTTATTCACGTTCAAATAACTTTTTGAAATGATATAAATATAAAAATTTATTGTTGATTTTTATTTTTTAATTTTTTCAGATAAAAAAGTATAATTTTTTTAATATACACGTATATTTCTTTATTATAAAATTTTATTGTGACCATTTATCTTTTATTCAAATTCTTTCTTTTAAAATTTATATATATTATAAATATTTAATTTATTAAAATAATTTTTTAAAAATTTGTATTTTTGATAAAATACTTTCGTATAGTATATAAGTTAAAAATACTAATATTAATGTATATATATATATATATATATATATACATATATATTATATTATTTTAATTAAATCTATTACTTTTCTTACAATTTCAAATTTAAAAGTTAAAAAAAATATTTTATGTATCCACTTTCTGTTGTTAGTATTGAACTTCTCTACTCTAATTCTATTCTCATTCTTAATGTCTGTCTCATTAAAACTTAACAACTATGAAACGTTATTTATTAAAGTTAATTGTCAATGCCGTTACAAGAGGTCACAAAGTAATCCTACACGAAGGGACAACTATTGTGCGGATCTATTTTATTGTCACTTTTACTTTGCCAATTGATCAAATTTCACACAAAATAGGGTTACCACTGACAAATAACTTGTGTGTTTAGTTTCGCTTATTGTTTATAAAAATTTTAATTTAAAAAATTAATTATATTAAGATACATTTAGTATTTATGATCTTTAAATATTTATTTTTTATCTCTATTTGTACCTTATTCGGCAACTACATATTAATTTTTTATATTATTATGCTACTTATGTGAAGTTATATAAACATATTTTTCTTTATATATATTTTTTTCAAACAAACGCGGATAATGGGTATAAGATAGGTATGCAGGTACCCAGAGGGTACGAGTACAAGGATTAATGTTCATACCCATGCGAGTATGGGCTGGGCACGAGTATTTTTTTAAAACGTGGATATGATGATGTGTATTATAGTACCTTATCCATTGTCATCCCTACTTGCTGTAAGTGGAGATTTAATTAAAAATGAAGCAAGCTGGAGATTTCCTTGATTAAGGTCTTTTTTTTATATATATATATAATCTACATGTTAGATGATAACGTCCCAGGTTGGTCATTAACACCAATCCATACAATCGTTCAAAGGCTTATTTTTATAATATTTTTCAAGTAACATGTATATCACACTGACGTAAATTTAAATATTTTTATACTTAGTCTAATTTTTTTTTAACTTATATATAACAGTATCTAAAATAATAAATTATAATCTACTAAATATAAGTTAAATAAAAATTTCTGATCAAATATAAAAATAGTTAAACTTAAATTGTGATCATGTATATATATAAGAGAAAGAGTTATTCTGCTCTCTCATAAAAAGTGAGATACAATGGACATTACTCTTTGGTCTGAAACTAGTTAAGGCTTTATCAGAACTCAGTTGACCAAAAATAAAATCTGGATAAGGGAAGGATTCAGAAAGGATCACCATTAATTGCTTTGGATTAGTTCGGGAGATTCAGAAATTAATTAGAGGTGATCAGATAATTATCTTAAGATCATCTTACTAAGTTAGGACATAATTTTCTCATTGGATTGTCAAATATTTTATTGTCCTCCTTTCTTTGCTCTTTTTATTAAAGAAGATCTCTAGCAAACTTATTTTAGATTTCCAGTGGTTGAAAATTTTACTTACCTTTTGAGTCGAGTGTTTAATTTAACTTGGTTTTAAACAATAAACGCTAAATTTATTAGCATTTTTGAAATATAGTTTTTAATTTATCGGTTATATATTTTCCCTTAAATTCACAGACCCATTTGAAAAAATGGTGTGATGAACAATAACCAGCACACTGATTATACTCCAAAGCTATGGAATAGGGTAAATTCTAGCGTCCACCAATTTATGTTATATATGAGGAGTATAGGAGCAATTTTTCTGCTATCGTTGATTTAATGATGCTATATGTGATTATTACGATTGTAAGATGAGAAACATAATAAACTGGTAATATAATCATAAGAAGAAGGCAATTTAATAAATAGTAGATGTATAAAAAGAAGTTAATAGGGCTAATTACTCCTTTTTTTTTTATTGTTTATTCTCTCATCTTTGTCTCTTCATTGTACATTTTCCCTTGGTGCACTTTTAACAATTGTCTCACCTTCAATAACCTCAAAACTTATGTTTCCATCCCATTATTTCATTATGAATTTCGAAGAGCCAACGTGGTTCATCCATTCTTGCCCAAATCCATAATTTTTTTTTCTCACGTGTTATGTTTCATTGTTTAGTTTGGGGAACTGAAAGTTGTTTTCCATGGACTGAGCACGTAGCTTACCAAATCTTTTGGTATACCAAAGTTGTTATTGATGCCATTGCCATCCCTTGAAACTCCTTGTAATTTTAAATTCTCCAAACATGTCTACGACTTCAAACCTGAGCTTGTCATAACTATACCGCGAGTCCACAAATCAAAGCCTTCACCAACCAGGTTAGCACAATCCAATTAGATAAAATCTCAAAGATAAAACTAGATTATGTAAAATCACTAATTGCTGATCAAATTTTATTTCCATCTAACTGCTCTCAAATGGAAAATAACATAACAATATTATGGGCTCTGCAACCATGGCACTGTTTAGTTGTTACAAATACTCGATAAATTTTTTAATACTGTTATTTTGTTTTATTAATATTTATTTATTTGGTTGGGTACCCATGTTTTTAATAATAAATCAATTATTTTACAAAAAAGTGAGGTTGAGTTGGATTTGCATGGAAGAAAGGGAACAGAGGTTCAGGGAACCCATGGCAATTCTCTTGAGTTGGATTTGACCAGATACCAATTCAGAAGACCAGAGGAATAACCGTAGAACGTAAAGCACTGGGATTTTATTTTATTTTATCACTATTATTATTTTGTAAAAACCAGCACTTGTTTTATATTACCTAGCTAGTTAGTTGGCTTGTCTAAATACTTGTCAATTTTAAAAAATGGTATCTATTTTTTTAAGTTAGAAATGAACTGTATATATAATTTTAAATTATTGGATTTTTTGAAATAAGCCATCAGATTTCTAGGTTAGGACATAGTAAAGGGCATGTTCTTATGCTTATGCCAAAAAACAATTGTCCTGAACTATGATGAGCCCCCTCGTCCCTTCTTTCTCATGCAACTGTTCCATGGTCCACCTTATTTAAAATTTTGTTTCTCTTCTGTTTTTTTCAAACATTATGTTAAATCACCTTGCCTTCTATTTTGGGGAAACCATTTCCATGCACAAAGCTAAGAGATAATACACTGTTTGATTAAAAGTGCAGATATTTAATATTACTTATCAAATTTTACTATGAATATTTAATATTAAGATATATTTAAGTTATATATATATAAATATATATTGAAAAGTTATTTAACATTTGAAAATATCTTACGATTTAAATTTTTTTAATCATATGAATCTATTTATATTGCATTATATATATATATATATATATATATTTTGTGTAAAAACAGTTTTATCGTTAAATAGATATTTAGACAGAGATTATTCAAGATTAATTGATTATCACAGTACCATATTTATAAACTATTTTATGTATTTATTTAAATTTATATCTCAATCTACTTAATTATTAAATTAAAAAGAATTATATATATATATATATATATATATACCCTAAATATGATACTATTTGAGCATAATTATAGAAAAAAAAAAACTGAATATCTTTTTGACATAACTTCAGATAAAGAATGCCTACCTCTTTCGACCTAAAACCAGGATGAAGGGTACCCACATTCTTTTGGCTTAATTTTAGAATAAAGTATATTTATGTCTTTTCGACCTAACCTCAAAACGACCATCTCTCCAATCATATTAAAATAAATTAATAAGCTAATTAAAGATTAATAGTCGATAATCAATAACAAAATAACTAATTATCTAAATATTCAATAAAAATAAGATAGAGTTAACAATGAAGCCTAATAGTCCAATTTCATGTTTATAAAAGAACAGTAAAAAGTACAAGTAAAAATGTTAACTTCAGAATATTAAATAGCATTTATTATTTTATATCCATCACTAATTTTACTGTTAGAGTGTCTTTGTAGGTATCCTCTTTTATGTCACAACAGAAAATAATTTGAAATATTTTAAAAAATAACACAACAAAAAACAAGAAGATAAATTACAAAAAACGAGTGTATCTTTGACAGGAATAATATATATATTATTTTTGTTTTACATATAATATGTGTTTTGATTATTTTATATTAAATAAATTCTATATCTAATTGAATTATTTACAATTTTATATTAAACTATTAGTTAATATATTATAAAATATTAAAGATGTTCATCATCAATGTGATGATTACTTAATTACAGTATGAAATAGAATTAAATAAATTTATCATAATATTGTTTTATAATAAAATTAAAGAAAAAGTTCTATTCATCATTTAAGAACTCAATAGAATGACAAGAAAATTGCTGACAAATGAATTTCATTTTATATCTTCAAATAGTAAAACAATAGAATAAAACACATTTCATTAAACTTCAAACAGTTTAGATAATAAATAATAATAATGAGTAACTTTAATTTATTTTATTTTATCGGTCCTATATTATACTATAGAAACCTAATCTAAAAGAATTGGAAAATATAAGTGGGAGGGATGTGACGTACTCCTCCGACACCAAACCAAAGTTATGTTTGAAAGTGTTAAACATAAAACAGAGGGAAGAAAAAGAAAAGGGCGCGAACTCTCCCGCGCTAAGCCTATATTTTACTATTATTCACGCTCACACCGTAATCATCCACCAAACGGGCGCTTTCACATTTCACAATTCACATATGCAAATGCAACACTTCCACCCCTACCACCACATCGCCGCCGCCGCCACCTCCACCATCTCTGCAGATGTAAAACGCGCCAAGAAGCGCGGCAGCTACAACTGTGGCCGCTGTGGTCTCCCCAAAAAGGGTCATGACTGCAACGTCAAGACCCCCACCTCCGCTTCTTCCACCACCCCTTCCCATTCTTCTCTCTCCTCCGCCTCCGCCGTCCATCAGCCGCCGTCGCACCTCCGCCGGGCACTCTCCTTCGACGACGATGCTGCCGGCCTCGATCCGTTGGAGCCCGCGGATTCAGAAACCGGATATGTGGATCTGGATTCGTGTGGGTTGCCGGCGAACCTTCTTTGGGAGGTGCTGAGGAGGTTGCCGCCGGCGAGGCTGTTAACGGCGGCGAAAGTGTGCAGGTGTTGGAGGGAAACGACTCGGAGGTTGTGGAGGGCGGCGGAGGAGTTGAAGCTTAGGGTTTCAGCGAGGGTTCAGGTTGGGTTTGTGGCGTCAATGTTGCAGAAGTGCCCGGGGATTGTGAAGCTCTCTCTTAGAATGGAAAGGTGTGGGTTGTTTGTTTGATTCTACGACAAGATCTGCAGTTTTATGCTGCTGATGCCGTTATAACCTAATCGAATGAATGAGATCGAAAAATAACAGCTTAATTTAAAACCTTGAATATTTAAAGTGGCATTATGATAAAAGTTCTTTTGGAGTTGTTACGATGAGAATTGATTTGTCGAAGAAAAGGACAAATGTGGAGAGTACTATGCTCTAATTTTAACCATGACCTAATGAAAAGAAAATAATGTTTCGAAACGATAACAGACCTGGTTATTGTAAAAGGGAAAAATAATTTGGTATTATAATGGAGATTATAAATGTGAGCTGTGTTCCTTGATGTTGCAGTGACGTGGATTCGACGATGCTGGCTTGCATAGCATTCTCATGCCCGAATTTGGAATTCATGGAGATCGCGGTTTCTGATACTGCAGTTAATCGGATCAATGGGTATTAAACATGTTTTCAATTATTTTTTTCGATGGAAAATGGTTTTTCTAGTGTAGTTTGTGTAAGGGTAAAGTTTTATAAGTCGCGAACAAGTGATCTTATTGATTAAGTGAAAAATGATATATCACTCGAATTCATATTCTGGGTTCTGTGTTTAAAAGTTGTTTTTAAATGTCTTTGTTCTACTTCGTAAAATTGTTTTTAATTAGGGTTAGGAACTTAATAATTGCTTATTTGGTTTTAGTGGATTGATTATGCAAGTTTATGTTTGCAAATCACATTAAGGGTCCGTTTGTTATAGATTTTCCTAAATTGAAATTGAATTTAATAATGACATTGAAGGAAATAATTTTTATCAACTTGAAGTTGAAAGAATGGGGTAGCATTTGCAAATGATATTTTAAAAATTAACTGGGAAAATTGATTTTGTAGACGGTAAAATGAAATTACTTTGTAGTGTAAATGTGTTTTATGCCGAAAATTATTTTTTATTGATGAAAAAGTTAGAAATTTGGTCACCACCATAATTTTGAAAGGTAACTTAACAGGCTATAACCGGCATTCCTGGTCTTTGTGAAATGCTGGTGAGAGAAAGAGCAACAGAAACAGGCTATAATTTCTTGTGTGTTGTTTCTTGTGTCGGGGTACATTAGTTTATATTGTTTTTCATCTGCCTGCCACGTATTACATGGATGAAATCCTAAAGGTGTGTCGCGATGCTATCAATTTTTACAAAAATATAACATTACCTACACTGTGTGTTTTACTGTTACTGTGCTTGAGCAGCTATGTTTTCCTTCTACACAAGGTTATAAGCCAGTTATGATTTGAGTCCTGCTCAATCACTGATGCTTTCATTGTTCCAGATGCGTTAGCCCATTTTATACAAAAGTAGCTAACAATTTATAGCATGAGAATGCTTAAGATAATGCTGCTTTTTGCTGATTAACTCAGACTATCCTCAAACTTTGACAATGCAGAGATGAGCTAAGTCGATTTGTTGCCGATAAAAAATGCCTCAAAAGCCTCAAGATGGAAGGTTGTTCTAATCTTGGGGGTTTTGTTCTTTGCTCGTCCAGTCTTTCTACCCTTTGGCTGTCTGATTTGTGCTCACTTTCTAAGATGGTGCTTAACTTTTCTTTCTCCTTTTCAGCTTGTACGGTGTGATCACATTTTTAAATTGATATTTTCCTATGATCTTACGTTCAAAGTGAACTCGGGTTGCTAACAGATAATTTGAAATGGTAGGTATTTAATTGTCCTCAGTTGAGAGAGATTTCGTTGGAGTTTTCTCACCAAGAAAATGAAAGTACCGATCTCACAGCTATGGTTGACGGTTTGGGAAGAAGTTGCCCGAGGTTGCAAAACATGCATATATCTTCAATGCGGCTTTCTCACGCTGCAGTGCTTGCTCTTACTGCTAATCAGTTAAGGTTTGTCTAAATCTGAGCTTTCTAGCCTCTTTTTCAACTGCTTAAGATAAATTATTTGTATCTTTTTCTAAATATTTTTAAAATGATAAGTACATTCTTATTATATTTATTATTTTCTTAACAAGTATTTTGAAGTATTCGTGACTATTTGTCATTTATATAATATGTAAAATTGTCTTCATTTGTTTTTATTTGTTATAATTAATTTAAAACTGCCACAACATCCGCTTGAGTGATAAGCTAAGCTTGATGAAGGTTTGTTGATACCAATAATTAGGGGGCTGCGGATGCTTTCACTTGTTCTTGGATCTGAAATTAGCGATGCATCTGTTGCTGCTATTGCCTCAAGTTATCCAAATTTGGAATTGCTTGATCTCAGTGGGTATGCGTGTTTCCATTTTAATTTCGTTCAGTGTTTAACGAGTTTTGAAAATGCATTTGCCTTGGAAAATGGAGTCGTGGCACGTTCTGTGGCAACTTGATAGAGTGCACACATATAAAGAAAAGCAACATATTAACATGTGGTTCAAGAGTGAATGACTCTGCGTAACGGTTTAACTAATATCACAGGTCCGGCGTTAGTGACAGTAGCATTGGAATAATTTGCAATGGGTTATCTGAAACATTGACCAGACTCCTTCTCGCTCTTTGCCCTAATGTTACTTCAAGTAAGCAACGTTTAATTTATTCAATTGCTTCACCAACTTTGCTTTGGTTTAGTTGCTGCCTGCTAATCTGCTGTCACGTACATTTCAGGCGGCATTCAATTTGCTACGGCTCAATTGCCGCATCTTGAACTTCTGGACTGTGGCATGACCATATGTGAACCTAATTCCCACAATCCAACTGCTGATGAAAATAACTGCAAATTAGAGAAAACATCGGTTACTAATCCACACTTCACAAACCAAAAGCTAATCATCAAACATAGTCGTTTAAAGAAACTTAGTTTATGGGGATGCACTGGCTTGGATGTAAGTTTTATTTGACTAAATAAGTTTGTTGAGCATGTTTCTCATGCTTCTAATATTTTGAATTTCTTATTTTGACCTAACATGCAGGCCTTGTATTTAAACTGCCCACAACTCAATGATCTGAATCTAAATTCCTGTAGAAATTTGCATCCAGGTAGTCATTTCACGCCCCTGTTCACTGAATTTTCATCGTCAGATAAAATTTTGTTGTAAATTTAAGGATTTCCTTTAAAAAAAATGACTGATCTTTTTTTGTTCAGAGAGACTGTTGCTTCAGTGCCCAACTTTAGAAAACGTGCATGCATGTGGTTGTCAGGATATGTTAGTTGGAGCTATCCAAAGTCAGGTAACAAGTCAGTTCCTCGGATATTTTCTTCAGACTTGTATAATTCAATATGTTCTTTTAGTTGTGGAAGCTTCAGTTCTCAGTTTATATCCGAAGAACAAAATTCATGTAGTTAATGGGAAACATTTACTTGGAGTTTTGAGATTCTTCACTTTCTAACCTCAAATGTACCTGTCCGTGTGTTTTGCCATTTGTTTGCAGGTCTGTAATGCTTTTACTGCTATGGAGAACCTTTCACCTTATAAACGTTTACCTGATGGCTCCAAAAGGGTTCGGGTTCCTCATTTAGTCAATAGCGAGGTAAAGCTAAATGAAATTGCGGAACGTGTTGTGTAATTTTTTGTTCTGCTCATGTGTGGAAGAGACGAAAAGTTGAAAGCACATTAGTAGGAACTATAAAAGCTATCTCCGTACAATGCATGCCATCGGATGCCGCACCGTGGCTAGTGGCTATCTAGCATCTTAATAACTAATTTCATCCCAAGTTTAATTTTGTGCAACAATGATATATTAGGATCATGCTTCAACCGAGTCGGAGTTTTTGTCCCATACAAACGTAAAAGTGATTTAAAACTTGCGCAGAGTCATTAACTTGTCCTTGCATATTGCATTGTACTGTTGCACAAGAGGATTTTATCTTGGACCTTGAACCTCAACTTATAATATTTTTTCTACAATTTTGTTTCGTTGTGCAGTCGATCGAGGATGAAAAGAAGCGAAGGAGAATTGAGAGACGGCTTTGTAATGTAGTTGTGGATTGATCAGTGTTCTGATGTATAGCTAATTTTAACGTATTCATGTGCAAAATCTTGTATGTAATTTAAAATCCACTAGGTACCAAACAATCATAAATGTTAAGCTCTAGAATTGGCGCCCTAGAACTTAGGTGAGAACTGTATCTTGTCACAAACTGTTCTTGCTTAGTATTGTGGTCAGCTCAGCAATCTGGCATTTTGATGTATCATGGATGATCCTTCTCAGATTGCTGCATTATTTTTAATAAAATTTATACTTTTTACCATGAAGCTACGCATGGCGTTCGCCTACAAGTGCCATTTTAGTGATATACCCGGATTAATTTTCATCTTTTTTCGGGGCACATAGATATAATCTACAATTCGGAAACAAACTCGTATGTATGTAATAACGGTTCAATTGAGCTCATTAACGCCCAAAAAGTTGTAATATTGAAGTTGATAAATGAAATTTGCCGTCCAAACCGCGGATCTAGCAAAGTAATACAAAAAGGTTAGTAACTATGTTTTTGTTGAAGGCAGCTTTGATTGAGTGCGCCTTGCATCCTTCTTTCTTGCTTCTGCTTGAGCTACCTGAGTTCCCGGATAGATTGAAACATTTTATTACATAGTAATCCTGAAAAATAAAAATAAGAAAAATCGCCGTTGCCGGGGATCGAACCCGGGTCACCCGCGTGACAGGCGGGAATACTCACCACTATACTACAACGACTTGATAACGATATACTAAAACAAGGCAATTAATCATTATACCGTAGTTGGGTGTTTCTGAAAATCGTGCGGGCAGTGTTGGCATTGTAGACGGTGGATTAAATGGAAGCAACATTGTCTTCAGCGACGGCAAGAGGATGTTGGAACCAGGCACGTCCTTCGGCAGGTCTGTTCTTTGTAATTCTTTTACGGTTCTGATTTTTCAATGGAATTTCCTTTTGTAAATTATTCCCTCTTCGATTCTGCTTCCTAATTCCCTTCCCACAGAACCTTTGTTGCTGAGAAGAGTGGAGGCTGGCGATCGGAATCCCTGTTTACTCTCCATTGCGCGCCCTAACAAGTTCGTGCAGCTATCACTGACTCGAACTGGCTATCGCAGCACCAATAATCTTCTCTTCAAGGTCCTGAGTTCAGATTTTTCATTTTTGAAACGCTTCAATCTGGAAACACCTCAAATACAAAGCAAAAACCATTTGTAAATGAAATTTGGTTTATCAAATCAAGTTCATGTCATTACGACAAGTTTCATTCAGTTTTTCATTTGCGAGTTTGAGATTTCAAACGCAAACAAGTTTTCATCAGTGATTGCGCGTCATTCCTTGCTAATTCTGTTTTGGTGCCGTTTTTCACTCTCCAGGTTTTATCTGCTGAAAAAGAACAAGTTCACGTTGTAGAGGGAAGGTATATATTCTTCTTCACGTGTACTTTTTCTTTCATCCGTTCTCAAATTTAACCTGAATATATGACATAAATGTCCAGTTCGTTTGTGAAATATGATGCAGCAAACCTGTTGTTATGTTCACGGTTAAGTCCTGCCAATCGTTTTAATGGAAACAGTGTCAGAATATAGAATCCGACTTTTCTTATGTGCTAGTCTAGAAAAATATAATTGAATGGCAGACACTGATCTGTGTCGTTTTTGGTCTACAAAGAACCGTAGCAATTAAAAAGTATGGTTAGCTGCTATTATTGAAACTACGGAACGATTGATTCCTCTGGAAAAAAATTTGGTGAACCTGAAAAGACTGTGTACGAAGAAGATAACATTGTAATTTGTCTACTAAGTTTTTTGTGGTAGAAAAAGCCATGACTTGAATTGCCTGAACGTTTTTTTTGAGTTGAATTAGCTTGACTTCTAATGGTTTTGGCTAATTTACTTCCATTGCTTTGCACTTTGCAGGAGTGTCGATGAGTTATATGATGCATTGGTTTCACGTCTTCTGCCTCCAGTGTCAGTTTCATCAAGTCCTAATCATAAGTAAGTTCTTGTTCATGGAATTACAGAAACAAATAAAGTTGGTTCTGAGTATACTGCAATAATACAGAATGAAATTTGTCTTTACAGAATGATGTGTGTCCATCGCCATGCATGTATAGTGCCATTAAATGTTTTTCACTCCGCCAATAAAGATGGTTGTTTATTGTAGGCATCCACTGTGATTCTGAACAGCTATTTGGGATTGTTATGCTTATAGTATATTATGAATTAAACTTAACCCATAACTAATTATCATGATCAATTTTTTTCTTATTTTGCTTTAAAATATAGCGAATTATGAAATTCTGTTGTTGTGAAAGCTTTGGTTAGGTTCTTCGAAACTGCTATTTTGCTGATCTTCTACTTGCCATTCTTGCACTTGATAAACTATTAGAAAAACGTCTGAAGTTATCTTTTTCAATTAAGTGCATGTCTCTTATATGACTTTTATTATATCAAGAACTTAGACAACTAAAGTAGTTAGATCTCCCTCCTCTTTTTTGTGGGAGGTCGGTGAAGTTGAAGATATTGTTGAACATTAAATAATCATGCCATCCTTTTGTGTACTATTCCATTTATATTCATGTCAATCACGATTTCTATGATACTGCACAGGCTTTTAGTTGGCTTGGCTGGTCCTCCAGGTGCTGGAAAAAGCACTCTAGCGCATGAAGTAGCCAAACGTATAAACAAGCTTTGGCCAGAGAAAGCTTCCTCCTTTGACTCTCAGATTCAACCGCCAGATGTTGCTGTTGTGGTTCCCATGGATGGTTTTCATCTGTATCGTTCTGAACTTGATGCAATGGAGGTTAGTGTCCTTCTGTTGCTCACCATTTTTTTTATTCACATGAAATTTTATTCCTAATTCATTTCATTTCATTATTCTTAGTTATGATCTAGAGTTGATAAGTTAGAACAAGCAATCAAATCAAATGCAAGTGCAAAATTGGGCATATGCTGTCATTTTCAGGTGACAAAGTATTCAAATGAATGGGAAATGAACATGTCATGATGTTTCTTTCTCTTGACATTGAATCAATGCTACATTCAGATTATTGGTAGATTATATCATAAATTATACCCCCTTGGCCCCTTCCAAATAAACAAATAAAATTCTAGAGTTAATTATATGGATTAGTGTATAAATACTCATGAACTGAAATTCTTATTTATTGTTGATAGCATGAAGAATCATAATTCTGACATTCTGAGTGATGTTTTTGAGAACAGGATCCCGAGGAAGCACATGCTAGAAGGGGAGGTAAGGTACCTCTTTGTTACTTATCAATTTTGGGCATTGTATTCATAGTAAGAACACTAATATTTAATTGGTATATCAGCTCCATGGACATTCAATCCCTTGCGACTGCTTACATGTCTCAAGAATCTAAGGATTAATGTAAGGTTTATTAAGATTTAATGCTACTCTTTGTTTATTTTATCATTATTATTATGCATGACTTGGAAACTTTAGAATTTGTTTATTTGTCTGTTGTTATCTTTACGGCCCACTTCTGTGGGAAAGCTGGGTTGCACAGAAAGCACTGTAAGCAACTGTGTGTTGGTATGATAGAGTTCTTATCTGCTTCCATTACATTTTGGTGAAAAAAATTCTTCAGGGATCTGTGTATGCACCATCATTTGACCATGGTGTTGGGGACCCAGTGGAAGATGATATCTTTGTGAACCTTCAGTGAGTATCTTAACATTGAGATGTGGTCCATTAATCTGCATGTTATTGATTTCTGTCACCAAACTGAATATGTATTGGACAAAAGTAATCGATGATTGCTTAAGTGACACTCATAAAAAACAGAAAAAGCGAAATTGCCATCATTAATGAGGTCAGAAAATAAAGTTTAGCCAATTATATTCTGATTCAACACCATTATAATTGTGTCAATAGTTGAATTTGTTATGAAATTCATTATCTTAAAAACTTCATGAGGCCATCCTCTAGTAATAATAATAAGCTGTATCAAGAGGTAAGCAGAAAATCTAGGTGTTCACATTGAAAATCTACATCTTCAAGAACCTTCTCTTCCATAAAATTAAATGAACTGAATATAATTCAATTTTATGGTAGATTCATATATTATTACATGTATAACAACTCTGAGATTAAGCCCCTGGCAGTCATTTGCTTTATTGTTCATTATATTATTGAGAAATTTTGTCAAATTAATGCTAGTGATGTCATATATCTTGAAATTTTCTGTAACACTTGTATTGTTGTTTCTTTGCTTATCTCCAATGAGTTTTGTATAATTGATTTTCCAAGATGTTGCCACTTGCTACATTGTTAGCTTATTTTGGTTATGTTGATATATATACTGCATCAACAGATTCCTTTGTTTTCTTCTTTGTGTAGGCACAAAGTTGTTATTGTAGAAGGTAACTATTTGCTCTTGGAAGATGGGGGATGGAAGGAGATATCATCTTTGTTTGATGAGAAATGGCAAGTATTGATTTTTACCAGGGCAAATGTTTCTACTTATATTTTCCTGTTGGCCTTGAAAATTTTTGTAGTTGTATGTTTACTCTGTTTTTAAAATTCAGCTGAGACTGACTCTGCTTGAAAATTCTTCTTTCTGAAAGACGATCTTATATTTATGAGACCACATATTCAGCTGATTACTGCTTTTGCTTGCTTCATGCCTGGAATATGTCGTCATTGTTATTAATTAGGTATTTGGCTTTTGAAACCTTAGTAGATAGAGGTGCCATGGGATAGAAATAACGGCATTTTTTCATTTTGAGTTTCCTATCTCAGTTTTTTCTATAAATTAAATATTTAGCTTAGTCTTTTTCTAGTTAAATTGTGAATAAATTTTAACCATGATAGTGTATTCAGGTGGAAGAAAATATCACCATGATATTATTATATGCTTTTTGTGCTTTTTCTCTCATTCTGCAGTATGCATGATTTACCCAATACAAGTACATGACATTAGGTCCCTACTGAAAACAAAATGTGCAGCTTTGTTTGGAATAATTTGTATTTTGCCTTAGCTTAGTATAATTGTTTTGCATTGACGTAACCTTTTTAGTGTAGCTTTTGTTAAAAATGCTCACTAAAATCTCGGTAGTGTATTATAGTCTCCGACATTGTTGCATTCATCTTTCCTGCTAGTAAGAGGTGCTTAAAACAATGCATAACTTGCATTTGTTTCAGACCTAGCTTAGTATAATTGTTTTGCATTGACGTAACCTTTTTAGTGCAGCTTTTGTTAAAAATGCTCACTAAAATCTCGGTAGTGTATTCTAGTCTCCGACATTGTTGCATTCATCTTTCCTGCTAGTAAGAGGTGCTAAAAACAATGCATAATTTGCATTTGTTTCAGACCTACATAATCTGTGATACTGGGTTACCATCACTGCTGTGGAATGACACCTGCTTTCGCAATTTTAACATTTGTAGAAATGGCTTTATATCTATTAAGAAAGATTCAACCTAATCTGAGGGAAATTTCTGCTTTTGTCAATTAATTGAGAGGATTATCAGGGTTACCAGTTTGTCTAATTTGTTTATTCCTGTTTTCTAAAGGTTTATTGATATTGACATTGACAAAGCAATGCAACGTGTTTTAAAGAGGCATATTTCAACTGGTATTTATACCATGCACTTTTCTTTAATATATTATATTCAGCTTCCTCCAAGTAGGAAGGTTATTTTGAATTTACATGTGATATTTGTTTCCCTCTCCATCTATAGGTAAACCGCCTGACATCGCTAAACAGCGGGTAAACCTCCACCTCTTTAATTTTTTATGTTTATTTGTTTTTCTGATTATCTGCCCAATCGAGTTTTGACACAGATATTTGATCTATTTTGTTGGTAATGAGTTACACAAGTGTAACACTAAATTTGATGATGCAGATAGAGAACAACGACAGGCTCAATGCAGAACTTATAATAAAGTCCAAGAAAAATGCTGATATACTAATCAAGTCAGTTGATTTCTGAGGAATCTGTTCGGCTTTGAGCTAAGTCAAACCCAAGAGAATATTATAACTTCAGAAGGATGTCTGTTATGAAAGAATTGTTATTATGATTTTTCACTAGACCAATAAACTGCTCTGTTGTATACTACAGATGCTGATATACTAATTAATATTTACAGAAATTCAAACATGAATGTCCTTTTTTTTATTTTTTATTTTTAGGTTATTATTTGATTCAATGTACTTGCAATGAAACTCAGACTGTCATTTTATGAACATGTATTATGTAATTTTCTAGTAAATATTGTTATTATAATAATTTAAAGGATAACTAAATTCAATAAAATTAATAAATAAAAATATTTATGTTAACTGTTGTTTTTATTCTAAAAGTAGACTAAACGAGTAGAATGAGACATACGAAAGAGATGGAATAATTGTCTCTATGTAGTTTATTTAAATATTAAAATGATTATTAATGAAATTTTTGTTTATATTCTATATAGTTTAAGATTAATATGTTTTTGTTTTTATTTTCCTAATCTATACTTACTTTGTTCAATACTCTTTTTATATTGACCTTAAAAGACATGGTTTCACAAATTTCTAAAACTGACTAAAACATTGCATAAACCAAATGGCGTAAATTAAAGGAGGCAATTTTTAGTTACATGTCTATAACATGTGATTTGTATTCAAGACTCGACTTTTCACATTAATCTAACAAAGAAGACGAGTAATACACAATTAGTAAGGCTAATTCATACTTATGATACGCATATATAAAATATTTTTAGAGAATTATTGAAAAGTTAAAAAAATATAATCAGTTTAAATGAAACAATTGTTTAAATAAAAATTGTTACTCAAGAAAAAAAATGATCACGTAAAAATATTATAAAATAATGAAATATATCATTAAATTTATATTCTATATACAAAAAAATAATTTTAGAACAGTACAAATATTTATCAATGTGATTTAGATACCAATATGTTGTTATATCAAATTTTATTTGTCCATAATTTAAATATGTATTCTCATTATATGGATATTAGTGTGATTATATATAAGTTTTTATCCCTTATAATAAAAATATTTTCTTATGAAAATTTGATATTAATATTAATAAATTTTATAATACTGTATATATTTATTTATCTAACTTAAAATATTTTCATATATAAAGTTCACCTGAAATATAAATATTAATGTCTGTAATTTAAATATTAATAATTTTCATGTAAAATTTTTATTTACATAAGATATATATATATATATATATATATATACATATATTAAAAAGATTGTAAAAATAATAATAAAATTGTAATTTTGAAAAAACTAAGTAAAAAAAGATGGAATGCTTGAGTAATTTTTAGTATACTACATGCAATAATCTAGTGATATAAAATATGTAAATTTTATTCTAAATACATAAAAGTTTATCACAATAAAAGGTCATATATAAATTTTATTTTATGCACTTAAATTTTTAATTATTCTCTAAAAATTTACAAAAACTTTCCAATCACATAAAAGGTTGTATAATGCTTTTGAAGATGTTTACCTGAACAAAAAATCATTCGTTTTTTCTTCTTTTTTATAAATGAAGTAAAAAGAGTTTTCATATACGAAATGGAGCAAGGTAAAAAGGGAGAAGAAAACGTTTACTTATTGATTTATGAAGGTGAATTATTATTGAGCAGAAGTGATAAGGAACCAAGCAATTAGAGACTGTCCGGCCGATTGTAGAAACTAGAAAGGCGAAGAGTAAAACTCCATTTAAAATCACAACTCTCTCAAATACCGCTGTGAAGTGATTTGCAGCAAAGAAAAAGAAATGGGCCAATGGGCCAATAGGTCACCCAGCTTGGCAAATAATTGGCAATGAGTTGGGCTCTTCTAGCAAAATATATTTAAATACACTACTTTTGAGCACCCAAATACACATTTTCTACCAATGAATTTTAGTTCGAGTAACAAAAGGAAGCAAAGTTTTAAGTTTAAATTCTTATGGATGTAAAAAAATTTAATGATAAATTCACCATTATATCTAAATGCGTAACTCGAGTTGAATCATGATTAAACTGAATAAAAAAACACATTTTTTTTTTATGTTTCTGATAGTGCAATATACAACTAAACTCTCAAGAATATAATTATAATTCGTATTTATAGTTGTATAGAGTTCTTTCCGCTAAGTAATAATTTTTAAAAGAATATATCTGTCCTTATCATATTAAAGAGGCATTTATTCGGTGACATCGACTCGTTATAAGATATAACGTGAGATGACACATTAGAAGTGAGTCATGTCTCTCGAGAAAACGATGTGCCTTCTAATTAAGTGGACCGATGCCAAATGCTAAATCAATTTGAACTTGACGTTCAAGGCTATAAATAATTAAGTGTTTAAGTCATAAACAAAACTACATGTTTAAGAATAATGAGTATAATTTTGTTATTTTCCTGCAAATTTAAATTTAAAAAGATTTATGTAAATTCTTTTCTTGACTTCGAAGTTTCTGTTAAATTTTGACTTAAAAAAATTTATCACTTGCTAGTGATTTATTAATAGATTTTACTAAAAATTAAATTAAAGTATTGATACCTTAAAATTTATATTAACAATACGATCTATTATTCTAACAAATATTTTATTTGTACAAAATATTAATCTATATTATCAACGCACAAACACTAAGATATTGTATTACTTATTAATTAGTATAGACCTTCAAAGTCTTTATTAATAATTTATTTTTTATTAAAAAATTACATTATAAAAAATTATCTTATATTTAATATTTATTATTATTATTTTAAGATAAATACCTCTTTTTAATAAAAATTTATCAATATACTTTTCCTTATTTCTAACCATTGATATCAACATTTTCTTACAAACATTTACAAATGAATTATCAATGAAAACAATGTGAGTGAGAGAAGAGAGGTACGTATATTAAAAGTAAGTTTTAAATAAATTATTGTTTAATAATTTTTTAAAACACTAAATTTTATGAATGGAACCGTAGACTTTTGCGAAAATGCCACTAAAAATTATAAATGAGGGGCCATTTACGTAAGCGTATTGATGCTTTTGCACTAATAATTTTTTCCACCTAGTCAGCCTATAAAATTAAGTTTGACCAGCACGCCCCTATATATAATATATATGAAAAATTAGACAGCAATATCTTGGATGGAATATAATAATAAATTAAAGAACCTATTTCTATGGGCATGCATAAATGCTCCATGAACACGCACATGCCCTTGTTTCCCATCCACCATGTTCAGGAACATTTCCAGTACTATCTATTAGACTCTTGATGATCAAAAACAAAAACTAACGTAAATGTAATAAATAGTTTCGTTATTAATTATATGAGAAATGATTAATACCAAGGAATCGCATGATGATAAGGAAAAACTATAGAAGTCAATTTTAAATATAGAGCATGATAATATATAATCTGGCTACAACAGGCAATCACATTATTAAAATTATTATTAAAGCAAGCAAACACACTAAACAAGCAAAGATATAAGAAAGCCAAGTCTAACAACATAATTCAGAGTCATTATGTTTCTGTTCATAATTAGTAGACATGCATCTCATTGTTTTGTTTGAAATATTATATAACAAACCATAATGATACACAAATTAACTATAATTTAAAACCCTGCTATGTCCATCTGTGTCTGCTGCAGCTTATCCTTACTTCAGTTAGCAAGCCAACTGAGCACCACAACTATAAAGGATGGAACGGGTCAACCACTAGTAGCTCCTGTTCTTGCATTTCTCCATCGTTCTTGGTGCTGAAATAATAAATTCAAAACAATTTTTTCAGAATGTGAAATTCATATACCTATTTATTACCTTCACGATGGAATAGAAGGTTTATTAATGATATAATGAATAATCAGTTTCTTGCAAATAGAAATTTAAAGACTTGATACTGACCCAGACCAATAGCCTCCTTTCCTTTCATGATACGTAAACGCTTGCATGAATTAACAAACATCCTGGTTCCCAATAAGAAAATCCATGTTATACTAAGCCCGTGATCATGATATCTAACTTGCAGTTAACATTCATACGGTTTATTAAAGTGCAAGCTTTTATAACGAATTGACTTGTCACCAAAATACACGTTATATTTTAAAACTCTTTTGGTGCATCGATCAATAATAATAATAACAACAACATTAATAATGATAAAATAATTTGGGATAACATGATTTAAGGAATCATTATTTCTTCAGATGCACGTGGGTAATGCTAAAAAATTAAATGAAAACATTTTAAAAAAAAATTTAGAAATCATATAACCTTTTACGTAAAATTTGTTAGACACAGATCTTTTGGAAGTTTTTCCCCGTTACAAGGTCCGATTATCGCGGGTAAATTGATTATGGGTGAAAGACTTACTCCCATGGGACATCACCGACAAGCATCCAGTCACCATCCTTGTCTTCATAGGTTGGGACATAATCAGAGCTGTTCAAAAGATCCATCAGCTTGCTCTCATTCATGAAATCCTTCATTCCTTGGGATTCACAATTGCCTTGCATATATCAACAACACAGCATTAATTAGTAATCAATACCACCTCATTTACATGCATGCAAGCTTTAATTTCCCTTTCTAACATATTGAACACAAGTTCGATTTTTTGGAGTATGGATATTATTATTTCAATTGGTGTTTTTTTTTAAATGAAAAATTATTTAAATTGGTATTGACTCTTGAATAAAGACTGTGTTTAATTACCTATGGTGAAGGAGCTGAACATTTTGCCTAAAGAATCAGAGAGCTCTGGGTAACTCTTATACATCTTCAAGTCCACTTTGCGGAGGTAAGGTGCTCCATCCATGCTAACTTTGACAAAGCTTGCATTAGGGCTTATGTTTTTCTCACTCTCCTCTCCAACGCTCTTTTGCACTGCTAACATGTTCCTCCGGAAGGACCGGACTGGTGGCCAACCCACCACCTGCGCCCTACACAATTCATTTCATTTGATGAATATAGATTATATCAATCAATTTTCTTAACTTTGATTTTTAGAACTAACAATTTATAAATAAGAATATATTAAAATAATACTTGTTATATTAATGATTCAGAAATTTAATAACATTTTTAATTAAAAATTATCATTTTAAATTTTAATTTTTTTTTTATAATTTTGATGAAGAAAACCGTATATTAGTCTCATCACATTTTGATCAACACGCATGACTTGCATATGGCATGCGACGAAGATAAAATACATATATAAAATTATTATGTGGAAAAACATTTTAGATTTCTTTGGAGAATTAATTATGTATCCGAGAAAATTAGAGAAATATAGATGATGATAACTGAGACCTATGTAATCAAGCACAAAAAATCATGTTCCTATTTTATACTAATCCAATCCTCTTTTCATATATCCTTTAAATAGAGAAGCATCGATAAATTTAAATTTGTTTGTGGAGCTGTTTCACTTTTATTATCTCAGTCAATATTTTACACGACTACCTAAATGAATCTGCAGAAGAAGAAACTATGTTTTATCTGGTTAGGACAAGAAAGGTGTAACTTTTCGCTGGTGTACTACATATCATCAAAACTTTCTTGAAATAATTGTAAATTATTGATCTTTCCTATCTAACTGGGTAGGCATGTAGAACACAGTTTTAGTATGAAACAGTACGTGATTCTATATATATTTATGTTGTACGAGAGTTGAAGAAGTCTAAATTTTCTATCGCATATATATTATATAAAACATGAAAGTATTTCTCTTATACAAAAGTATACTTTTTTCTTTTCTTTTTTATAATCTCTCTACCTCTTTCCTTTTCTCCCCTTCACAAGTCTATATTTCTCTTTCATTTCTTTATTCCATCTTCCACGATCTAATGTTCAACCTCCGTTTCTTTCTCTTTCTCGTTCTCAAGCAAGCATCATGTGTAAAAAACCACATGCTTATTAGCCCTAGACTTTATCATGAATTAGTATATAAACACTAAAAGCCATGTTTACATGCTCTCTCTCTCTCTCTCTATATATATATATATATATATATATATGAGAGAGAGAGAGATACGTAATACATAAAAGTTACAACTGGAAAATTAAGAAATTAATTAACTCCCCTCTTTCTTAGTTTTTTTTTTATAAGAAAACTTATATTATAAATATAAAATTAAATCATGGAACTGTTTAAGAAAACTTAGCTAGTTATAATCAATCACTTACTTGGCCGGAGGCTTAGCTGGATCTGCAGGCAGAAGGGTCTTCTCCTTAGGCAAAGTCTTGTGCTTATCACTCGGATCTGCCACAGTGGTTGCTTCCATATTAGAAGAGAGATTAAGCATCAAATCCACTGTGGTTGTTTCAGCTTCAGTATCAGAAAATCCTCTCTTCCTTACGACTTCTTCACTCCCTGTGGCTCCGTTTCCAGGCAACCCAAGCCTTAGCTCAGTTTCCTCAAACCCCATCTTTTCCTTCTTCAGGCCAACCTCCATGAATTTTCACTCTCTTATGAGTCTATATATCACTTTATCACTCTTTCTCTCTCTAAGCATTCAGTGATTTGTTTGCAATAATAGTGAGGGGGTACTAATGTACTATAGTATAGGGGCAAGGGAAGGACAAGGGGACGCTTAAGGAGGGGAAACGTTTGGGTGTGGTGGGCATTAATAAAAGGACGCATGGTGCACTCTGTCTTTTTAATTGAAAATTTTACTAGGAATAGGTTTGTGACACGTGGAGGAATTTGTGAGCTGGACTTTTCTGAGCTTGCTGGGCTTGGTGACGACAAGGTGATGTTATCTTCCTATGATTGTTGAGTGGAAGAAGTGAAAGTGGACACCCCATGTTGGTTGCTTACACCACTTTCTTTATTACTCCTAGGGTTTCGTCATTTCACACACAAGGGTAAGCCACTATTTTCGCGGCCTTATCCTTCTAAATTATTCTTCAACTATTCATGTTTCTACTCTCAACTCATGTGAGTTTAGTACCTATATATCACATACTGTAACATTTTAGTTATATTACACTTCATTGCCTGTACACACAAAATGATTTTAGAATTCGATAGAGGAGTAATTGTAGATGTTACGTTCCAAATGAAAATTGAAAAAGAAAGGTGCTTTATGTAACTTTTAATGTACTGGTAAATGTATAAATTCTATCGTGTTCATGGAATTGTGCTACCCTTCATTAACCAAGGATCATCATTGCAGTTGAACAGCACTTTTCATCTTTGGATTTAGCAATGGGTATAATTGGTCTTATATCGATGATCCCCATAGGATCGATCAAAAAGGTTCTAAACTCAAGGAGTTTCGTTTCCCAAGTGGACTCTAACGTGGATGCATGGTTGAAAAAGATGACATCTAATATATTTGACCATTAATCTGGAATAGATAACATCAAATTAAACTCCCTAATATTCAACATCAGTTGCTTTTATGTAGCCATATAATTAACGCATATCATACTTATTAAATCAGCATATATTACTGAAAGTGACGATCTTGACCTCCGATGACAAGATTTTTGTTATAGTTTTCAATACATGTATGTATGACTACTTTACACTAATTCATTGTCTGTCAATCTATAAGCCTATGGCTGGGTAATTGTCAAACTTAGTGCATTATCTTTGTGAAGTAGGCATGTCGCCTATTAGGATATTATCCATGGACTTGAGATTCTTGTTCTGTGGTACAGAAAAAATTTAAATGAAAGGTTTGCCAGGGATAGGCGTGTAGCCTACAAATTATTTTAAACCATGTTGCAAATACTGTTCTTTTATATATATGCTTTTAAATTTATGAGCATGGTAAAACAATTTTACACAAACAGTGGATAAACTTTGTTATTTATACATAATAGTTGATATGCCAGAAGTTTAGAACCGGGAATGGATCAATGCACACTTCATAAATAAGTTAATTATTTAATCTGAGTTATTATAAATAAATTAAAGCACCCAGTACATTTACAGACAAACTAAAAGTTTTTGTTGGGATGTGGCGTTATGCTATGTGAGAAAGGTGGTTTCACAATGGAAGTTGTGGGGGGAAAAGCAGATATGGTTCAAGATGTGCAATTATTTGACAGGAACACTTAACTGTTTGTTGTTACTGTATACATACACAAAAGATTTGTGGTTTGATCCGTGAGGTGTAACTTGAGAATTGCACGCACACATGGTGGCCACGTCCACGTTGCCCCAATTGTCCTCCCCTTCAACATCTTGGGTTAATCAAACTGGACAGTGATAAAAGAAACTGAGATTGTGTCCAAGATTGTGTTAGAGATGACCCGATCGTGGTTGATATACGAGCTAGCTTAGGTTTTGAGACACCAAAATCTTGTATTTGGCAATGGCATTTAATTTGTGGGATGACTGGGATCTCATTCACGCAAGTTGAGGGACATCATCTCAAGGGAATCCATTTTGTAATCAATTCTTCCAACTTATCGAATAGAAGCAATATATTTATGTTCATAATTAGAATTTCAAAGATCATATCTCCTTACAGAAATTTTCCTTCATATTAGGTACAACCTAACATGTTACTATTAGTTTTTAAATGTTAAGGAATTGTTACAAAATGACTTAAACTAGTAACCTTTTATTGAAAGAAAAGTTATATTCATACAATAAAATTATACAAGAAAAAAATAGAAATGAGTGAGGAGTGTAAATAATAAAAATAATATTGTAGAAAGTATTATAAAAAAATATTATACAAACAATATAACTCCTTTAAATATCTGTCTCTCTACGACCTACTTTGCTAAGGCCTATTCACTTAATATGCTTTTAGGCAAACCATACCTAAATAATTAATATTCGATTAAACTAAGAGTTTGAACTTCTACGTTATTATTATTTTTAATTTCCACTATATTTCTAAGTTTCAACATATTTTTTCTTCTTCTAAAAATCTTAAATGTTTGTATAGTTTGAAATTTCCATGTTTTAAAACTTGAAAAGGTTTTTTTTCAAACTGAGTATACAGATTTATCTTATTATTTTAGAATTATAGAGGTTTAAGTTTAAATTTTAAAACGTGTGTCATAGTCCAAATGGAAGGGGTTTGAATATCTTTTAAATTAACTTATAGTCTACATTTGATTGAGATTCATATGTATAGAAAAAGCACAATTGAGAGGGGTTACTGTTTCGGTATCTAACCGTATTTTGAGATCAATTATCTACCGGTTGGGAATATTTCTGATGAAAAACCCAAAAAAGAAAAAAACACAAAAGGAAAATTATAAAATTTAAACTGTAAAAACTTATTTGGGTTATTTCAAAAGGCACACAAATTTTCATAATAACTTAACTATATTTTAAAAAAAGGTAAACATTACTTTAATACTTTTAAAAGTTAATACTACAAATTATTAACAGGAAATTAATGCTAAATAATAATTTAAAAGATCACCATCAATACCATCAAGTCCTAAAAAGGCACATCAACATAATTTTCCTGAATACGAACATGTAAATTGAAAAATGGGAGCTGATGGGTCAAACATGTGAAATTTCATGAAAAGGAGGGAATATGAATTAAGAAGTAATAAAGTATGAATCCCAAAAATGGTGAGTGAGCTGACTTCATTTCACTTTTCCCTTTTCCCTTAGGCCACAACCCCACAACCCCACAACCCCACCCCCCTAACTGGGAATAGGGAGAGGGTGGGGCCAAAGTCTGAGAGTCATGTGGTAAGATTCATTGGGTAGAATTGTGAGGTCCCACCGAAGTGGCCATGTGGGTTTGTTGGCATTATGTAGTCCTAAGTGTCAAACCCTATCCCATGTGCGCCGCGGGAGGGCACCCCACTCATTCTCTCCCCTTCACCTCACCCATCCTCTCCTTTTTCCTTTTTATGTTTTTTCATATATTCGCATTTAGACTTAATAGAAACATCCATCACTCATCAATATATGGAATAACACTTCCTATGGATGGAAAGAAATATATACTTTTCTAAAACGTTCCCCTCACACAGGATCTCTCTTCTTTGTTTGAAGTAAGAGATACACTTTCCACTGTATAAAACCTTTTTTTTTTTTGGGTCAATGTATAGAAGCATTTAAACTCAATTCACCCCATTTGATTCTGGTCCTTTTTCAAGCAACAAATGTGTTCAAAATCCATTGTTAATCCAGATGCATTGCTTTGACGATAATTTCCACACATATATTTCTTTAACATTTGTGTTCCTCCCCCTTGCCAATGATTTTGTGACTATGAAGCGTACTTGGAGAAATGTTACTATACAAAGAATATTTTACATATATCAAATTCATATTTCTATGTATATATTATTACCTTTTTATTTTTAAGAATCAAGAATTATATATATATATATAAAAGTGCTTGAATGAATTCATAAATAATTCAACATGATTATATCAATTATTATTTTTATAATGTTTAATTTGGAGTGGGGGTGTGGGGGGGGGGGGGGGAGTTACATCGTACTACATATATAAGTAATCATTATAGACCAATGATTTATTTTCCCTTTCTTCTTCTTCAAATTATTTTGCAATGATTATACTTGAGAGATATTGCTAGTTTATTCACTGGGCGGTGGTTAACCCTCAACATAACATGGTACTCTATTGGTAGATTTTTAAAAATCAGAAGCAGATAGGGTCTCGTCTGAGGGAATCAGGGGCTAGCTAGGAACATAAGTGAACCCAAAAATTGCAGTCAACAAATTACATTATAGATTATTGGCATTTGGTGGTGCCACAGAGAGATCCTAATATGCCATCATCATCATTTGCTGATACATATAATTAACTTTACTTTTCAATGCGTAAAAAGTTGTTCCTTTTCTTGGATCCTGCGTGATCTCAGATCTAATATTGTGCTTTCTTGACCTCCATGACAAAGTGCAAATTCGATTCCATGCTTACCAAAAGTGTACACACAGTCTCAAAAGTTCACTCTCTTCATTATATCATTCTCCACATCGTAACCCCTTGGTAGTTGGTACTGAAAATCTGAAATTTCTATGGTTTTGTTTTGTCAATGTTTTGTGTCAGTTCTGCACATGTCACTGGTTTAGGCTTTAGCTAGCTACCGTCGACTTTAATGTGCTGCGTGACTTAATTGAAGGTATAGTTAGATCGATGGAAAAAAAATAAGATGAAAAAAAATTTTGAGATAAGTTTATGAACTATTATTTGAATTGTAAAATAATAGATGAAATCAAACGATAGTTAATGGTATGTAATTCATTCAATTCTATTATATTTGCCTACTTTCCTTCTCTTCTAAATTAGAGAGCAAGAGATGAATCATGTAACTCACTTTAACATACCCAAACAATAATAAAAATTTTATTAATTAGGCAGACCCAATATTTTACATATATAAATCAATTATTTGTCGGTATAAAAATTATAGATCCAAACATGTCATATGTTCTTTGATGAACAGAAAGGCTTTGTAACGACTGATGTGAACAACAAAGTTTATTCTATTATTTTTAATCTAAGAGATTTAGTTTGTATTAAAAATATTTATCACTTAAAATATTAAGAATATATTATTATTTTATTTAAACATGTTCTTTTGATATAGTAATTTATCTAATTAGTTATGCTTAAAGATGCGTGTATTA